CAAAGCATTGAACGCAGCCTTTACGCCACACGACTGGCCTTGTATTTTTGTGTGAACTATGGATGCCAGTCTATCGAATTATTCGAAACATTGTTCTATGCACAAAGCCTATAATCTACACTAATTGTTAGCCGGTTTATGGGAACCTGAGACAATTCAATGACCAACAGAAGTAGGTATAGGTAATTTATTCCTAAATATGGTTCATTGAGAGCAGCTACCTAGGCGAGTTGGTTAAACCCGTGGAAACACACAAATTACTGACATAGAACTTCTGAAAGAAACGAAAGGAATGAAACTCTATTATCCAGGATGCAAAATGAAAAAGCAACACACAATACTGGCTAGAAACACGTAGATATATCATTGACTATTTACATCTAATTTCTATTGATTTATAGCATCATCGATGAAATCGTCAATTTGTTCGTCATCGATGACACCGGTGAACATTCCTATACGCTCTCCATTTTTGAATGACATCACTGTGGGCACTGCAGTTATACCGTAATCCATTGCAAGTTCACCAGCTTGATCCACATTGATCTTCGCCATTAATACAGCACCATTTCGTCCATACACCTGGAAGAGCAGTCAAGCATTACCGTGGACAAGCAGTGATACTGACATGAATGCTAGCGAGCCGCGGGAGGGAAGGTTCGAGACCCTGGAAGGTGGCATGATAAGCATTTACCAGCGCAGTAAACCAGTCTTTGTAGCAGTTACTAGTTGTGACGTACCCTCCATATACTGCGAGGTGGGCGTGGCGACACGCTTCCCCTGAACAAGTGGACTCCGGTGTGACTGCCAAGTCAAAAACGGACAGGATCTCATGAACATTGTCTAGTTTGATAATCTTCCTGGGGGAGGGGGATGTTCTGTATTGACGCTCCGGATGGATTTCGCGACTTCGGAGTGGCCTTTGCAGGTAGTTCCTTATGTCTTCGGAAAGCAGCTTGGGAAAGGGTGCACATGTGGCTTGCTACGACTGTGGAAGAAGCGGAAAAATGGAGCATATAAAGTCGGGGATACGAATTAGTGGCTGACATCCACCTTTCTCCTTTTTGAGAGATGGATAATGCAGGAAACATGTTCTACGTTAGCGAAGCGCCGCCGCAGTTGTCTCGTCCCAACGAAGAAAAGGTTCCTGCGCAACGGTAATAATATGGTGTATTTGTCACCTAAAATTCACCTCCGTGTTTTATGCATTTTCTTGAGATTCACCTGCGCGGTCCTAGGTTCGATCCCAGGTCGACTCCCGCCCAGGCCAACCAAGCCTTCTACCCTCCGGGGACGGTGAATTGGTACCAGATTCGTCTGGGAGGATGAAAACACTGACTTGTACATTGGCTGGCTCCCGGTTTAGGCCACACTTCAGGCCGAGGTAAGCTACGCTTCTTGGGAGACATTTCTTTTCGGGACAATACCAGTCATGCATTTTTCTAGCCTGAAACTGGATAGTAGTCGTCGCAAATGGGAGTATCCCATGAGAAATACATCTTAGGGCATGCTCAAATGATGTACCCTTCACGCCTCCTCCGGTTCCGAGGTATGGAGGGTGCTGCTGGCACAATAATTAAAATGGAGGCGCACGTAGGGGGAGGGGAACCACTCCGCACTTCTGTACCTCTACTCACGGCTTAGGCTGCGTGAAGATTGTCTTCTCTACGGAACTATCTCCAAGCAACTCTGGTCGTCTGCGCTCTAAGCCTTTCTGGCAAGGGGATACAGAGGCGCGACCAAGTGGTCTTTCCCCCCCCCCCCTTTTTTTTCTTCAATGCCGAAATTAAGACTGTTTCCTGGTATGCCTAACAGGTTTTTATGGTGTACTATTTTACTGAGCTGGCCACAATCAATAGTACATAAAAACATGTTGGGCACGCAGCAAGAAGATCTAAATCTTAACATTATTGCCAGGTCTCAAGAAAGGTTCCAAGAGAAGGACATGAAGAATGTTCGCATAAAAGTTCAGTCAGCGAACTGAACCACCAATCGATACAACTTTCAACCGTCAGCCTTTCGCTTTTTAAGATACTACGTGCATAAGTATCCAACAGGACCATATTGATTAGAAACTGCTGAAGAGTGAAAGAAAACAAGCGCCAAACAGTACAAAAACCGACCTTTTCCTCAAGTCGAGGACCAAGCGTTCTGCAGGGGCCGCACCAGTCAGCGTGAAAATCAACTATGACAGGTTGCGGTGAATTGACGACCTGGAATAACATTGTGTGCTTACGATATGTGAATTGTCTAGTCGTTTGCAACACTGTGCCTAATTGCCTTAGTTAAGCTACTGATTCCCAGAATAAAAGAAACTTCCTTTTCATTTGATCTTCTATCGTGTGAAACCTAACGCTTTCGCGTAAACATTTCTGGACGATATTGCAGAGGCTTGTACCCGAAACGGACTCAGAAAAAAAAATTGGAGCTTCCGTTTGCTCATAGCGAAAATTTATTTAATTATTAGAGTTAGCCATTTGATACAAGGATTACTAGTAGGCACGATGATCTGTAATGTCCGTACCGACTGCTTTGGCACGCCGTGCTAAATCCTATTTTCCGCCAGTTTCTTTGAGTCGTTATAGTGGCAACAATCTGGTGAAAATGTGTTGTTACGTTAATTGATACTGCCTGTCGCTTGAAGAAGAAGAATTTTATAGTGAAGGAATGGGTCAGTCGCAGGCGCCCAAACGCGAGGCGCGCGATCGCCATTCATAATTTGCAGCGAAGCAGAGTGTATGATAATCTTGACTCTGTTTGACCTTATGTGATTGAAGACTACGATCGTACACCGTTAACTGAACCAGCTCATCTCGACGCGTGCTTCGTCGTTTAATTAGGCTGAGCCTAATAGATAGGAGGGGGGGGGGTGGAATCATTTGGCTAAGGACATCAGAGAATCCATAAATAAGCTCACGCCGCCCCGAGCTCTTAAACCCGTGGAATATGAATCGTTCACTATTCTCTTGTTGCAATCAATACGATGGTTCAGCTTCTCTACGCACCCGCGTCTCGCCAGTTCATTCGTTGTGGGGGGAGAGTAGAGGGAGTGAGGTGTGTGGTGGACGTTCAGGAAGCGTGGGTCGTTGAGCTGATGAAAAATGTATCGTATTTGAGGTGAGAAAATGTATTTTGATTGTTGATTTTTCTCTGGCTTGCACGGACGTTGTATAAAAGGTGGGGGGGTTGGGGTGGGGTTCGTAGTCCGTCTATTGTTGCGATGGGGGGGGTCGTTATCTACTCTGGCTCTTCTACGGCAGTGGTGACTCTTTCGTGATGTTTTCCTCGTTCAATGCCCCCCCCACTTATACAGCAAAATTTTTGGGTGGAACAAGTAGGATAGGTTCGTGAAGGTTTTTGGAAAAAGTGGCAGGAAGTTGGGGAAAATCTGAGAATTGGTAGAAGGGAGGGAAGGGGGGGGGTCGTATTGTCTCGCGGCTTTTCCTGTTTCACATGTGCTATTTACCCCTCCCCCCCTCGACGGCTCGATTCGATGAGGAGGGACAGAGAACCGAAAGGGAGGGGTCGTATCAACCCCCCCACCCCAAAAAAGGGGGAGGATCGTACGGATAAGACCAAAATATCCAACCAATGATGTGCCCTGGCTCCAGTAGTTGTGGGCTGCACGGCAGGACGACAAAATGACTGGGCATGATTCAACAAGAGAGCGCAGAGAAAGCGCTATCTGAGGTTCTCGCTGCGCTGCCGCTTGCCCCCATCAACTACAGTAGCATCGCGCCAACTTGGCTAAGGCAGAGATCCCCGTTTCTCTGACTCACGGAGGTTTTTTTGCGCCTTCCAGCATTGAATGCAGTCCAACATTCAGAAAAATCGATGGATGAATTGGGTAGAAACAATTTTCGCAACATTTCGTGGAATGAAGAGGTTCGTCTTGCAGCAAAAGAGAGACTACCGTAATTCATGCGAACATTGCACCAAAGCGTCCTACAGTTTGCTCGCAGCGGATGGCTAATGCCGTTTGGACTCCAGAAATTTCGGCACCGAGCTCATTTTTAAATTGCCTAAGTCACCAAATCCGCTAAAAACTTGTATATAGGGGTAGTTTAACATCCTGATTACGAATATGACATTCACTCTTGTCGCTGGCGCCAAGAGAGGACACTACGATTACCTCCTGGGCTCAGCCTTAGCAGAGCGCAGATAATCGTAGTGTCATCCATTAGCGCCAGCGACAAGAGTGAATGTCATATTCGTGAATCAGG